GGGACTTGGGCTTCCTCCTCTGTTGATCAAACATTGTCCTAAGTGATTTCCACTGTTTTTTTAACAGCTCAGTGACTTCTTCATACTTGGATTATCTGTTTATGTTTTATCCAGGGCACGGACATCATAACAACACTGATATCTGTGCTACATGATGAAAAAGCATTTCCTAACCCAAAGGTATTTGACCCTGGACACTTTCTAGATGAGAGTGGCAACTTTAAGAAGAGTGACTACTTCATGCTTTTCTCAGCAGGTATAAAATTCATTTCCATGGAACTTCATAGAAGATAACTCTTTTAATTCAAATTTTTTCTTCATATAGGGTGAGCAAATTTCATGTGTTCCATATGTACAGATTAAGAGTATAATGATACTACCCACCCTATACTCCATCCCTCCCACACTCCTTCCGTCCTCCTCCTTCCTTATTTTTTCTTTTAGTTTATACAATGATATCTCTTCAGTCTGTATTCTGTTCACAAGTATAACCCTCAAATAAATAAAGAATTCAACCAGTAGTAAGTAGAAAAACCTCTCTTTCTCAAGAGTATTGATAAGGACATTAATCATAATCAAATGTTAAATGTGAATTTTGTTCACATACATTACCTTATTTTGTACTCTGTCAATGCATATCAGGGAAAGCATATGATATTTACATTTTTGAACTGGCATATATCACAAAGCATAAGGTTTCTAGCTGCAAAAGACAGGATTTTTTTTTTTTTGATGTGTATTCCACAGTGTGTATATAATCACAGTTTCTTATCCAGTCATTAGGTGAAGGACAGCTGAGTTCAGTCTATTTTTATTTATTTATTCAGTTTATTTTTATTTATTTCTATTTATTTAGAAATAAATAAAAATAAAATAACAATCCTAGTGTCAGTTCTCTGTATTCTCTTCATTCGTGCATCAAGCAGATGAGAAATAAAAGAAAATAGAGTCCCAGTAGTTCCCACCAGTCTTCATAATGACAAGCAGAGAGAAGGATGAAAAGGAAGATGGAAGAAAGCTGTCTTGTCTGAGTCTCACTTAGAGTTATTGGAGTTGTGGTTTCAGAAGAGAGAAACAAATCTTTTAAAGATTTATTTATTTATTTGAAAGTCAGAGTTATAGAGATGGGGGAAAGAGTGAACAGGAGTGGAGAGGCAGAAGGAGAGGGAGGGAAAGAAGAGAGAGGGAGAGAGAGAGATAGCGAGAGAGAGAGAGAGAGAGAGAGAGAGAGAGATCATTCTTCCACTAACTGGTTAATTTACAAAAAGCTGTAATGGCTAGGGCTTAACCAGAAAAGTCAGGAGCTTCATCCAAGTCTGCTATGTGGGTATCAGGAACCCAAGCACTGGGGTCATCTTGTACTGTTTTTCTTGGCTTTACCTGCTATGCCATTATGCTAGGCCCTAAAAGAAACTCTGCTAAGAATGGTTCTAACCTGTAGGGAAAGTTGAGAGGATCAGCTCAAGGGAAGATGATCATTATATTTTACAGTCCCATATTCCTTCTTGTGGCTACTGTGAACATAGAAGAAAAATTTGGAATATCATTTTACTCCCGATTTTGATCAATTATTTTGGTAATCATTCACTAAATTCATGTTGGTTTTGAAAGCCACAGATTAGAGTGAATCACGCAATAGTGAATCAAAGCACACTCTGATAATGTTGGTGAATCCAGGCAAACTGAAGGCCTTTTTTGAAGAAGAGAGCAACACATGGAACACATGGAATCAGTTCAGAAGTCTAACATCAGCAGTTTGTGTGTCTTTGATCTTGGGACTGAATCTCCCAGGCCAAGTTTCCTCATCCTTCAAATTGAATGATTTTACCTTAGGCAAAGTTAACAGAATCCAAATAATGTGTAGGGTGTGAAACTCTTTGTTAATTGTCAGAATCTCTCTATTCATGGCCAATAAATCATTCTCTAAGTTGTTTTTGACAAAACTTAATTTTTACAAATACAGTTTCGAAATAATAGCTCTGGGCTGGCACCACGGCTCACTAGGCTAGTCCTCTACCTGTGGCACTGGCACCCCGAGTTCTAGCCCTGGTGGGGTGCTGGATTCTGTCCCGGTTGCTCCTCTTTCAGTCCAACTCCCTGCTGTGGCCAGGGAAGGCAATGGAGGATGGCCCAAGTACTTGGGCCCTGCACCTGCATGGGAGACCAGGAGGAAGCACCTGGCTCCTGGCTTCGGATCTGTGTAGCGCACCGGCTGTAGCTGCCATTTTGGGGGTGAACCAACGGAAGGAAGACCTTTCTCTCTGTCTCTCTCTCTCACTGTCTAACTCTGCCTGTCAAAAAAAGAAAAAGAAATAATAGCACCATCCAATTTACAGAAACATCTGATGATACTGTAAAAACATGCCTTTGTATAACCATAGTCACTGGTGATCTAGTAACATTTTTCTTTCAGTGAGGTTTACCTTCTTGTGAGCAGTGTCACCTCCTGTTCAGGTCAACAAATTGTGGTTCTTTGAGCTGTGGGTCTATTAAATGATTTCCCTTCCTCTACTCCTATATTGCACCTGTAAGTACATTCTTTCTAATATTTCCCTGAATTGCTGAATTATCTACTTTTCATTTCAGACTATGACAGTCCCAAACCTACAGAATCATGCTTGGCTACAGCCAAAAGTCAGGTGAGGGTAGTTTTAGTTTCCCAAGAGTTTCCCTCAAATTCTCTGAGATTTTCTCTTTCCTTAGTTACACTGACTAAATTTTACTTCTATGATGAATAAACGGGAAGAACCCTCTCTTTTTCTGTTCATGTGAGTACATATGGTTTTTTATTCTTGAAGTCAATTAAAGGAGCTCCTATTAAGAGGAATGTCTGTTTCATTATGAACATAGTGTGTTGTTTGTTGAGAGTAACTAATATTTTAGGTTTCCTTTGTTTGTTGAAGTTACTCTGGAGGCTGCCTATGTGTAGGACATAGTACACAAGATGGGAATCAGAAGATCTCATAGAACCCCCGGAATAGACACTGTGGCATAGTAGTGCAGCTGCTGCTTTTGACACAGGCATTCAATGTCAGAAACTTGGGTTTGGTTTCTGGTTTCACTTTTTGAGCTGGTTTATGCTAGTGCTATACCTGGAGTCAGTAGATGATTTCTCAGCTCTTGGGCCCCTTTCACCCATGTGGTAAACCTGGATTGACTTCTGGGTTTCTGATTTGACCTGTCTCAGCCTTTGCTGTTGTGGGAATTTGGGGGAGTGAACAAAGATACAGGATATGGATCTCTAACCCTGTCTACTCTATCTCCCTCTCTTTCTCTTTCTGCCTTCCAATAAAGAAAAATAAAGTTTTAAAAGCTATATTAAATTTATTTAAAACAACTCTCCAAAGCAAATTGAACACAAAATCTAAAATTCCCTTCTGTGACTTGTAAGCCCTGTGACCCTGGCCAAGTCCTCTGTTGTCTTTGAATCTCTATTCATTTGAAAAACAAAAATTAATATTCTCTGCTTTCTCAAGTTTTCCTTTTAAAATTTAATGGTAAATCATGCCAATTGATATAGCTAGTGACTTGATCATTTTTGTTTGTTCAATATGTATGGTTTATGGTTACTTTCTAATGTTTAGTTACCTATAATACTAGTAGAGTATATAAAATATTTGAATAGCTGCCATCATTGAGTACAAAGTGTTTAAGTTTTGGCATACTTCTAAGACACACTTCCATATATATTTTATATGCATATAAAATACATTGATATACAAGGAATAGCATATTGTGATTTCTTTTAGTCATAAAAAGACAGAATTTGGCATAATTTTGTTTTATTATAATTAATTCTCTATCATGACTGCACATGGAAACCACCGTTTTGTTTTTGTTTTTTTTTTTTCTATTACAAATACATGGGCACAACCTAATATAATGAAATTACAATTTCCCGAGTGGGCATAGGTCACAAAGTGATGGGAATAAACTTTTTTTCTTCTCTGTAAAGGAGGCAAAGTCCACTCGGAAGAGAGGATAAAGTGCATCCTTGCGGCCGACGCCATGGCTCACTAGGCTTATCCTCCACCTAACAGCGCCAGCACCCCAGGTTCTAGTCCTGGTCAGGGCGCCAGATTCTGTCCCGGTTGCCCCTCTTCCAGTCCAGCTCTCTGCTGTAGCCAGGGAGTGCAGTGGAGGATGGCCCAAGTGTTTGGGCCCTGCACCCCATGGGAGACCAGGAGAAGCACCTGGCTCCTGCCGACGGATCAGCGTGGTGCACCCGCCACAGCAAGAAGGCTGTGGCGGCCATTGGAGGGTGAACCAACAGCAAAGGAAGACCTTTCTCTCTGTCTCTCTCTCTCTCACTGTCCACTCTCCCTGTCAAAAAAAAAAAAAAAAAGGTGCATCATTGTTTTGACCCATCAGAGAAGCATATTAGCAACAGTGGTATAAAGCCTGTGCTTCCCAGCTCACAAGGATCCCAGGAAGAAGAGAATGGATCCAGTTGTGGCCCTGGTGTTGGGGCTCTGCTGTTTACTTCTCCTTTCTCTCTGGAAGCAGAATTCCGGGAGGGGGAAGCTCCCTCCTGGCCCCACTCCTTTCCCCATCATTGGAAATACTCTCCAGATAGATGTTAAGGACATCAGCAAATCCCTAACTAAGGTAAGTATTTATTATGCTCCTCCTGTGGCATGCAAAGGGTAAACAGATTGACTCTTTTTAAAATAAAATCTATTCTTGGATGCACATTCTTAAAACAGTTGATTACATATCAAAATGCTCTCTGTAAGCTTTGATGCTTCTGCTACCAATTTCAGGAGTTGAGTAGAGAAATATTTAGGTCCTGCAGATAGAATCAAAATAACTAAGTGACAAAAATCAGGAGTACTGAGGATCTTCTTTGATTTTCAGCCATTTACCTGAGCATCAGTGGTAGTTAAGAGCTTCTGATAGAAATTTCATTCAAGAAATCATCTATTGTATTATACATGTGGTTTCTTTCTTCAGATTACTTATGGAAATTGAACTTCTCGGCAGAATCAATAAAAACTGCAATCACTATGGGTTCTGAGTGGTCCAGGTGAATGAAAGAAAGAAGTAAGCATTCAGTGGCCAACTGGTGGCATCAGAATTCTTTTAGATTCTGAGAAACCCTGCTGCGTGGCCCAGAATGTTACAGGATGGAAGAAACTGCTCCTCCCTGATGTGCTGCGTGCAATGTCCTGGCCCTGCCTCTGGTGCTGCTGCTGCTGCTTGTTCTTCCTCTTCTTCTTCTCCTTGTCCTCTGTGCTCCTCCTCCCTCTCACCCCCTCTACTCCCTTGTCCTTTTCGACTTTTTCCTCCTCTTCTTCCCTTCTCCTTCTTTTTCTTCTTCTTCAAGATTTATTTGATTTACTCAAAAGACAGAGTGACAGAAACATAGGACAGACAAAGCAAGAGATCTCCTGACCAGCACTGCAGCAAAGCACCTGGAGCCTCCTCTTGTGATGCTGGCATCACATATGGGCGCCTTTTGAAGACCCGGCTGTTCCACATCTGATCCAGCTACCTGCTAATTATAGTGGGACAGCATCAGAGCATAGTGCAATTTCTTGGGCCCCTGCACCCACATGGGAGAACAGAAGAAGCTCCTGGCTTCTGGAATCATCAAGGCCTAGCCCTAGGGCTGTGGCAATTTGGGTAGTGAAACAGCAGATTGAAGATCTCTCTCTCTCTCTCTCTCTCTCTCTCTCTCTCTCTCTGTCTCTCCTATACTTTCTGTAACTCTGCTTTTAATTAAACAAACATAAAAAAGAGACCCCAGGCTGGGGCTGTGGCATAGCATGTAAAGCTGCGGCCTCCAGTGCTGGCGTCCCAGATGGACTCCAGTTTGAGCCCCAGCTACTCCACTTCTGATGCATCTCTCTGCTATGGCTTCAGAAAGTAGTAGAAGATGCCCAAGTGCTTGGGCCCCTTCACTGGCATGGGAGACCCAAAAGAAGCTCCTGGCTTCAGATTGGCCCAGATCCATCCATTGCGGCAATTTGTTAAGTGAATCAGTGAATGGAAGACCACTCTCACTCTCTCTCTCTTGCTCTGCCTCTTTGACTCCTTCAAATAAATAAACAAATCTTTAAGAAGAGAGAGATCCCATCAGCTGTTTGACTGCACAAAGGACTGAGTGATCAGGGCTGAGCCAGGTCAGAGATGGGAGCCAGGAACTCTTCCTGGGTCTCTCAACTTATGGGTAATTGTAAATTTTATTAATACACATTTTTCTATTTGGTATAGTTGTTCAGAACAATATGATAGAATTAACTAAAAAACAGCTTTCTCAAGTATGCTATATATGGAAAGCAATTTGAGATATTGGCTAGTCATGTCTCAAGAAAGGAATTTTTTTTTTTACATTGAAATTCTTGATAAAGAAGTCTCCAATTATTTTTGGCTTCCCCAATATGGGATGTATGCTTGAAATAAATAAATTAAAATTCTCACTTTGCTCCTTTAAGGAAACTGATCCATCTTACACTTATGGTCTCTTTACTTATTTTTCTAAAATTTTTCTTTAAAGTGAAAGACATTCAGACACACCACACACACACACACACACACACCCCACAGACACAGAGAGAGAGAGTGAGAGAGAGTTATCTCATCTACTAGTTCACTCCCCAGATTCCCACATAGCCAGGCCTATAATAAGCCAGAAGTGAGTACTCGATTAGGTCTCCCACTTGAGTGGCATGATCTCAGCTACTTGAGCCATCACATGCTGCCTCCAATAGTCTGAACTGTCAGGAAGTGGAGTTAGGAGTGGGGCCTAGTGTTGAACCCAGCACTCTATCTGGAATGCAAATCATTTTAGACGGTATCATAAGCTTCATAATTTAGTTTCTGGTTTTTCTCATATTATATGCATGCCTTCAGCTTTAATAATTTTTTTCTTTCAAGTATGTGAATTTTCTCACAATTTGTCTCTTTTTCCCTCTCTACTGGTTCAACACTTCATTTTTCATTATTTGTGACTATTCGTTATTTTATCTATAAGAAGTTTCCTGGCCCACACTATTTTCTGCCTTCCATTTCAGTGCTTTATTGTCTACAGGCATTGTATACATGCATGATTCTGGTTTGAAAACCTGAATTATTATGTTTAAAACTGTTTTTTAGTATCCTTTCCAAATAGCAGATCTCTTGTGATAAAAGAGTGCATAGAAAAACAATAAATGTGATTCAGTATTTGAAATCTCAATATTTAGCCAACTAGGTAGTAATGGTCAACTCAGGCTTACAGTAAAATTATGTTTGATTTCTTTTGTGCCACTTTTCTTTTACTGTCACAGGAATTTGTAGGCAAGACATTGCTTAAAGTTTCTAAATTGCCATGGATAAAAATAACATGCTTTATATGTATATTTTAATGGTGTTTTAAAATTGTTTTCAATTATTCAGCCTCACCCCGTGATCCCACCTTTATCCTGGGCTGTGCTCCCTGCAATGTGATCTGCTCCGTTATTTTCCATAATCGCTTTGATTATAAAGATGAGGATTTTCTTAAACTGATGGAAAAATTAAATGGAACTGTTAGGATTCTGAGCTCTCCATGGTTGCAGGTGGGAGTGAGATCTTTTGTTGCTGGGAAGCCATTTATGTTCCTTTATCTGACAGGTGCTAAATGCTACATGGACCAAGCTATGAAGAGAATGTTTAGACAGCACAGTCCCAGCAGAGCTGATGTCATTGAACACTGTGAAAGGTGATGGAAATTTTTATTTACACACAGCAAAATGAGTGTCCAAATACTGGGCTAATGTTTATGTCCATTATCTTCTTGTCCAGTGATTTTTCCACTAAACTCCAAGCCCTATTTCTATGAAGCCACTTGGATGACTGAATAAAGAATATCTTTGTCAATCAATGGAAATCCAGGCTGTTATTTTGTTAAAATATTTATACATATGATGGCAGGATCATAGAGAGAGGGAGAAACAAAGGGGAGAGGAGGAGGAGGAGAAGGAGGAGAAGAAGAAGAAAAGAGAGAGATATAGAAATATATATAGATACCATCTATTTGCTGCTCACTTTCTGAACATCCAGAGAAACATGACTAGGACTCAAACCAGCACACAATATGAGATGCAGGCTTCACAAGTGGTAGCTTTACATGCTGCACCACAATGCCGTCATTTCCTGTTATATTTTAAGTTTGTAGCAAATGATTTATGAAACAAAATGACATTCAAATAAAGAGGATCTTATACTATGAAAACAGGCCGATGTCGTGACTCACTAGGCTAATCCTCTGCCTGTAGCACCAGCACTCCGGGTTCTAGTTCCGGTTGGGGTGCCGGATTCTGTCCCGGTTGCTCCTCTTCCAGTCTAGCTCTCTGCTGTGGCCCGGGAGTGCAGTAGAGGATGGCCCAAGTGCTTGGGCCCTGCACCTGCATGGGAGACCAGGAGGAAGCACCTGGCTCCTGGCTTCAGATTGAAGCAGCGCTGGCCATACCGACCATTTTGGTGGTGAACCAACGGAAGGAAAACATTTTTTCTGTCTCTCTTTCTCACTGTCTAACTCTGCCTGTCAAAAAAAAAATTATGTGTGAGTCTAGGAAATTAAATTTATCTTTGATAACCTGGTCAGACTTCTCATGCTCAAATATTTCTATAAGCATATAGAAATACCACATATTTACAGTAAAAGCATTCTTTTTAAGATGGACACTATTTTATTCATATTTATATCTGTAATTCACATTTATGGCTGGGTTTGCATGTATATATGTATACATACATGTATTATAATGTTTATCAAATTATTGTAGTCTCTTTTAGTTTTGCAATACTTTCCCTGCTCTCACTGACTATTTCCTGGGAATCATAGCACCTTAGTAAAAAATATTGATAATACAAAAAATTTGATTATGCAGAAAGTGATAGAAAACCAAAAATTTCTTGATGTTTACAACCCTAGGGACTTTATTGATTGTTTTTTGATCAAAATGGAGCAGGTAAGATGTTCACAGCAGCTTGTTATTTGTTTTCTTGTGTATTTTTAGATTCATTGAACAATTCTGCATATATAGTGGACATTTAAATGATCAGGCTGGTTTGACAAGCAATTTACATATCTAGAGAATGAATGATCTCTCAGTATTATGAAAAATATTAGGGTACTTTATATAAATTTTGTGGAAATAAAGACTTAAAAGATAAGTTATTTCGGTGTAAGAAAATGAAAGCCAATATATATTTGCTATAATGTACATTACGATAAACGTGTTGAAGACACATATTATAAAATTAAATTGTTAAATTATTAGAATACCTAGGTTTTGTTTTTAGACAAAAATAATCCTGCAAAGGAGAAACATAGTGCACATCTCCTGTGCAAATAAATAATTACAAACAATGAAAAAATCACAAAGTGTCATGGTGTAATGTGAAGATGACATCATCATTGCACAAGTGTAAGGGAGAGGGGAGCAAAGCTTAGTCTGCATATCCTACACATTGAAGGAAGTATTTAGAAATTTTCAGTGCAGGACAGGAGAGGGAATTTCAGATGGAGTGTGTGGTGTGTGTGGAGGTGTTCAGTTGTATCTTGGGAAAGAATTGGTAGAAGAGAGAATTGGATTTAGCTGAGTGTAACACAATAACTTGTACAGATGTGGAGACAGAGGTTGGTGTCTTGAAGGCAATCTGGGAGCATGGATCATGTCATCACTGCACTCTTTGTTGAAAAGGCTATTTGTTCCCCATTGAATACATTGGCACCTGGGTCATAAGTCAAATGAACATAAATATAAGTTTGTTTGTGGGCTGTCAGTTCCATTCCATTGATCTATGTATCTGTTATGCCAGCTGTACCATCTTGAAGTCTTAACGACTGTACTTTTCAGGTAGAGAAGTGTGAGATTTTTAACATTGGTTGTTCTTTCTCAAAACTATTTTGGCTATAATAGGTTCCTTGAATTTCAATGAAAATTTTAGTACAAGCTTATAAATTTCCACAAAGACACTTGTGAATATTTAGAGGGATTGCATTAAATCCATAGTCCTTTTCATTATTGTCACGTAAAAATTGAGGAGAAACTTACATAACATGGAATTAACCATTTTACATTTCACACTGGTGTTATTTAGTGTATTCTCAATGCTGTCCAAACACCAACTCTCTACTTTGAAAACCTTTACATCACTGCACAGAAACCTATCCTCTCCATTAAATGATCGCTCCCCAAACCCCTACCCTGTCAGGCATTGAGCTTTAATCTGCTGTCTGTCTTGTGGATTTGCATATTATAGACATATCAAGTAAAAGCAATGAATGTATGTGACCATTTGTTTCTGGCTCCTTTATTTTAGCACACTGTTGAGAGGATCACTGTAGCGCGTATCATTACTTCATTCCTTTTTTGTAGCTGGATGGCATTCCACATTGCACATACACATACCAGAATTTGTTTATCATTCTGTTGATGGATGTTTGTGTTATTTCTTCTTTTGGCTCTTGGAAATAATGCTTTTATGAACATCTACATGTAGGATTCCTTATGGACACACTTTCATTTTTCTAGGGTATACCTAAATGTGAAATTTCTGGGTCATATGGTAATTTGTTTTCTTTATAATTACCATGGGAATACTGTTAACATTCTAAATCTGTAACAGTCTATTTTGAATTGATATTAACTTCAAATTGCATTTTTAATTCTTTCCCTATCTAGCTCCATTACCCCCTTTCTTTGTTATTTGTGGGTTGTAAGAAAAAAATATTTATTCATGTCATCTTTAGATAGAAACACTTCTTTTCTATTTGAATACATTTTTATTCATGTCTAATTTCTCTGGCTAGACCTTCTACAGCTATGCTGAATAGCAGTGGTGAAAGTACACATTGATTGTATTATTTTCCTCCTTTTTATTTCAGAGAATAAGATTTAGGCTTTAAAAATGTAATAAGATTCAGTTTTGTAATTTTTCAAAATCTTCTGTATAATGATAAGGAAGTTTATTTGTATTTCCTGAGTCCCTTTTTATTGTGAACAGCATTGCATTATTCAAATTTCTTTGTTTCAAAATTTTATTAAGGCATTTCATATATACAAATTTAGGAACATAGTGATTTCTCCCAACCTATCCTTCCTCCCACTTGCACTCCTAACTTCTTTTTCCTCCCCTTCCCCCTTCTCTTCCCATTCTTATTTTTTGCAAACATCTATTTTCAGTTAACTTTATTACCCTACACTAGGCTAAGAGTTCAACACATAGTATGAAGAAAAAACAAACCTCCTCAATGGTTGAGACAAGGGCTATTCAAAACCATCACATCTAAAAGTGTCAATTTCATGCCTACAGATCTTTAAGTAAGCTATTAGTTGGCACAGATCAGAGAGAACATATAGTATTTATATTTTCTGGACAGACTTACTCCTCTAAGGAGAATGGTTTCCAGCTGCATCCATTTTGTTAGAAAAGACAGGATTACTGTTTTTTTAAAACTGATCTGTAATGTTCCATAGTGTGTATATATCATAATTTCTTTATCCAGTCTTCAGTTGAGGGACATCTGGGTTGATTCCATATCTATGCTATAGTGAAATTTGCTGAAATAAACAAAGGGGTACATATATTTCTTGCATATGCTGATTTCTTTTTGTTTGGGTAAATTCTTAGGAGTGGAATGACTGGGTCTAATGGTAGCTCTGTATCAGATTTTTAAGGCATCCCCATACTGTTCTCCAAAGTGGCTGCACCAGTTTACATTCTCATCTACAGTGGTTTAGGGTGCCTTTTCCTCCACACCCTCATCAGTATTTTTCTTTTTTTGTTGAGTTCTATATGAGAGCCATTCTAACTGGTGTGAGGTGAAAACTTATTGTGGTTTTCATTTGCATTTCCCTGATGGCTAGTGCTCCTGAGCATGTGCTCAAGTATCTGTTGGCCATTTGAATTTCCTCTCTTGAAAAATGCCTGTTCAATTCCTTTGCCCGTTTCTTCACTGGGTTGTTTGTTTGGTTGTTGTAGAATTTGTGGAGCTCTTTATAGTTTCTGGATGTGAAGCCTTTATCAGTTGCATAGAGTGAAAATAATTTCTCCCATTCTGTTGGTTGCCTCTTCCCTTTGTTGAGTGTTTCTTCTGCAGTGCAAAAGCTTCTTAGTTTGATGTAATCCCACTTCAATTTTGGCTTTGATTGCCTGTGATTCTGGGGCCTTTTACAAGAAGTCTTTGCCTATGCCAATGACTTGCAGAGTTTCTCCAATGTTCTTTAGTAATTTGATTCTATGGGGTCATAAATTTAGGTCTTTGATTCATTTTGAGTGGGTTTTTGTATAAAGTAGAAGGTATGGTCTTATTTCATATTTCTGCATGTGGAGATCCAATTTTCTCAGCACCATTTTATTTAAGAGAATGTCCTTGCTCCAGGGATTGGTTTTAGCTCCTTTGTCAAAGATTAGCTGGTTGTAGAAGCATGGACTGATATCTGGAGTTTGTTCTGTTCCATTGGTCTATATTTTTTTTTTTGTCAGTACTAGCCTATTTTGATGATAATTACTGTGTAGTTGTGCAGTGTGATTTAAAATCTGGTATTGTGATGCCACCTGTTTTGTTTTTGTTGTGTAAGATTGCTTTATCTATTGTGGTCTCTTGTGATTCCATATGAATTGTAGAATTACTTTTCCAAGATCAGAGAAGAATGTCCTTGGTATTTTGTTTGGGATCAGATTGAATCCATAAATTGTTTTTGGTAGTAT